AATCAATCTTCATTAAAGTCCCTCTGGTCAGTTGTGTCTGCAGGCTGTGGCCATGGTTATAGTGCTTTCCAACGACCCGTGCAAGATATATGTATACATATATATGTATATATATATATATATACATATATATATATATATATCACACGTCTGAAGCCAGACTATGTGCCAAACAAATCATGGTACAATCATATTTATGAAAAAGAAAAACGTTCCATGATTTGTATGTGGGCTAAATAAGGCCAGGTTGCCCAGACCACACAACTGGAGCCGAAGCCTGATCCGCAAGGCAGCGCGGTGGTGTGTAAAAACCGTAGTCCGTCGAGAGCCGGTGTCCAGTTCATCGGATCATACGCCGTTTGGACGAGATCAAACATCCAACGTGCCCGACACAAATCGATACCAAATTGAGCCGGTGACCACTGCCACAACCAGGAAGTTGTGGGTAGTGCACAAGTCCGAGTTGTAAAAGTTCCTGAGAAGACGTATGAGCTTTGCACAGTTCTATAGTCCCAGTTGCGAGAGGACCAGCAATAGGCAGGACTTCACTTTGACGAAGACAATTGAATACTGATGATAAAACGGTTGAGCAGTACAGTTGACTTCCTGGACAACTTGTCCTGTGAGTATTGCCAACCACCGTGGATGTGGAGGACGAGTGAGCGGGAACAATGATGTCATTCATTGTTTCTACCTCAAATGTGGGCTCATTTGGGTGTACCCGTTTTTCACACATCAACTGAATTGAGTATGTATGAAACAAAACAAAAAGGGAATCGTGTGTGTCGTCGTAACAGCCGATGAGATTTGCGATGTGCTGTCTCTGAACTGTCAATGAATGTCTGTTTATATCTTTGTTAGGACTGTAACCAGGTCCGCGTGCAGTTAGAACTGAATTGTGTTTCTTTGAGCTCTCCAGGTTGACAACCAACCTGTTGAGAGTATGGCAGTTTCCGTTGAACACATATTAGTTTCATTCTGTTGGTCTCATTTGTTTATAGGCCACATTATTTTCATCATTATATGGCAGTCATTTTTTCGTGAATGGACGTACTTCATCAACGCAGACTCGTGTCCTAAGGTGATGAAGGAACAATAAGTTAAAACGCATTCTGCTGATTGAGCACGTGAATAAAGCAAGGTTATATGTAGGAGAGTGAGTCAATTAAAAAGGTACCTGCTAATTATGCAGTTGTTGCACGAATAAGGGAGTTAAAATCATCTGTCGTTATTCGGACAGAGCGAATCACCTGATAAAAGTGGCCGCGACCTGCGAGGGAACCAAAGTTTTGAAGGACCAAGAGGTGCAGCATCCAGTTCGTGTTACCGGCGGTTAAATAGGAACCAGGAATAGGTTTTACGGTAACCAAAAATAAGTTGAGGAGTAGATGTCAGGGGCAGATAAACAAGTATGCAAATGACTTTACATTGAACACTATCCAAAAATGTTACAGAATTGGGCATTCTGCCACAAACACACACAGTGGGTTGCATAATACCGAAATGGGACGTATTTCATCCTTACGAAGAGAGAGAAGTTGACAGGGGATAATAGTCTGCCTGAAACTGAAACGGAAGTGGTTTTCCTGCATGCGGAGCAGCTGAAAGATTCAATGGAGAACAAGGCAAGAAACATGAAAGTTATGATAGAACAGAGTGTACAAAATGAAAAATGTAAACTCTGACTAAGCGGTTCACGTCTGCCTGAATCGTGTGTTTGAGATATTTGTGTAAAATTAAAAACCACTCCATTGACTTCAAAATGAAGTAAACGAATCACACACAGGTATTAAATAGCTTGTAGTGGTTCCAGAGAAAGCATAATTAACAGGATCAAGCGTTCCAGAAAACAGGGTTTTGATGGTGAGAAGGTGGAGGACGAGAGAACGAACGACACTCTATGTGATAATGCCACCGGATTTCCTTGGAATTGCCCTGGAAACGAATTCATCAATACGGAACGAGAATCGTTTCACACAGAGTGTATTCTAATCAAGGGATACAACTCGGGGAAAGTCTAAACTGAGGTTAGCATCCCATCAAACTATCATTGCATACTCATCCGGATGCCTCGCGTATACGTAAGGAGACCAGATGTGAAGCGTTATGCTGGTTAGGGATGAGGAACCGTTTTTGAGTTGCATGCCAACAGATCGATAGTCGGGCAGCAGAAGTCATGCATACAAATCAAACAAATTGGGGATTTTTTCGTGATTTATCACCGGTCATTGGTAGTGCATAACAACCAGAGAAGGTTAGAATACCACCGCGGTGGACCGAAGGGTATGAGAATGTTGAGTGTTTTTGCTCTTCGCGAGCCGTGCCGGAGAAGAACGATCAAAGTCTGTCGAGCAAATACTATACTGCTTTCGACCAAACGAACCCGTCAAGTTTGATTTGGATCTGTTTCGCTCAATTAATCTGTTAGCGTGTTGTCATGCCTTGTGAGTTGCGGTGTCGGTTTAGAATAGATTTAATGTTAGTTTCAGTTTATCAGGTCAATTCAACATGAATCGATTTGCACACAATCAGTTGCATCAAAACCGAGAGTAGACGTGTGTGTCGCGATATGTTAACATTTTGTTTCATCTTCTCACTCGCCGATCTGAAACAAAACCGACCAAAAAACAGATACGTATATAGTAAACTGGGATTTGATGTGCCCTAATGAACGGACATGCACAGATAGACAGAGGCTAAATGAACGCAATGAGAGTGAACTCTATGACAAGTGACCTGATTGCCTCCGGGAACGTTCGGGTGCACAAATCGGGATAATGTAATCTTAATAATAACGACCCTCACTAACCACCAATGAGTTTTGCATTTGAGGTCAAGTAAGAATATCGTTTTTAAAGAGAAAGCAAAATCAAGTGCATGTATGGTTGTCATGAGCTGAGCTGATGCAATGAGTGTCCCCTGGGTTCCCTCTCTGACCGCATGACCATCGGATGTGAGCTGCGTTATCGACTTCACCAACCAATTTCCAAGCTATCTGGCATTCAGTGTCCTAATTGATGGTTGGTGCTGCCAGGCGTATGCGTCGCCACAACCACAGGTGAATTGGTACACGATGTGAAAGAGAACTGAG